AGTGAAGCGCATGAAGCGCATCGTTTGCGCAGCATCCTGTCTCCATTCATCTCGTCGGATCCCGAGGGATCCAGCGGATTCTCCTATTGATCCGGCGCGCATATAGGCGGAACTCTAACATGAGCAGATATGTGCATTTCCCCGGATGACTGCCATTTGACGGGATAGCTTCAAGAGTTGCCCCATTACGTAGTTGCAGTGTTGCCTTCTCCAGATTTTCAGCACTGCCTAAGTATGTGCCTGCTGGCAAAAAAAGGTCAAATCACACACCACCAAATACTGCATACGGACATACTGCCAGACCGGTACAGCATGTTTAGAGTTGATCGCGGGAAAATCTACCCTGGTCCGCTGCTAGAGCTGGAACGACGAGGCTGCATCACACCGGTCTCCACATACATGGTGAAATACGCTGTAGCTGAGCTAAAACAACGTCCGTCGGCATTGTTTGGATGCTGGCTGAGACTGGTACGCACTTGAAGTATACTCCGGCCCATAGCACGAGAGAAAACTCTGTATTGGAGGCGATGTGGAAACAAACTTGAGCCTGTTCGCGTATTCGCCACCTCTCCATACTGCCAGCCGTTTGCTCCAATCTCTGGCTAGTCATTTTCCGTGATACGATAGTGGACGTTCTAATCCCGTTTCGATCACTTTTGTTTGTTCTTCAGGCTGTTTTATTCTTATATTCCGAATAGAGTCTATCGCTGTAGAATACCTGGGTGTATATGCCAAAATGACCGCACATATTGCATTTTTGATACCAGACGGACGAGTGTCTCAGGACTTGGAAGTGTATGTGTGTAGAGCGGAAAAGGAGTTTTGATGTCGTAACGATCTACGCTGATGCCGGTGCGAGAGGATAGAAACACAGGGTAAGTCAAATTGCAAGTACCAGCACTACAAAGCAAGAATCGGAAATCGTGCCTCAATGCTAAGCCACCAACGGCAGTAGCTCCAGAACGTAGAGCCTCACCGCGTTATAGACTCTTACACACAAAGATGAAACCCACGATAACTAAAACTTCATCAATGGTAATGCTTCACCACAATTCCGGCAACTATCTCCTCCTCAACCCCATTCCCTTTCTTCTGCAACTCGATCAGGCCATATGAGCTTGTTCTTCCCTTTCGATAAGCTTCCATCGTAGGGGCGCTAGCATCGGGAACACGCCGCACAATCCCATGTCTTTGGAGAACCGGGCTCTCCGCGTGTGGAATTAGCCTCACGTCGTCATCGGTCATGGCGAAGTAGAAGACCCCAAGGCGGGTCAGGCCACGTTGGTCCGGGGGCGGCTGGACAACACGGTGAATGGTTGCTTTGTAGAAGCCTCCGGAGAGGTACTCCATCGCATCGCCTGAGTTCACCACCTTCAGATGAGAAAGACGAAGATCAGATTTCAGGCAATAATCAGTAGTCAGATGTGCGCACGTACAAGGGCATTCTCGATATGTCTAATCCAGCGCCACTTCCCGTCTGGCGACATGATCTGGAGCGCAGAGACTGGTTGGCTCCATAGGATGGTGACGCTTCCAATATCTAATCATAGTCACTTTAGAGAGCGCCCGTTGATCCACAATCTGAACCCTTAATTCTCACCGGTATGACCTTTCAACCAGGTATTTTTCGTCTTCGTCTCGTCATCTTCCGATCTCGGATAACTGTCTCACGGCACGTTTGGAGAGTTCGAGAATACTATAAGGACAAGATCCGCGTACTATTTCATAAATCGTACTGAAAGTCTATTGAGTAGCTTGGCTAACAAGTATGAGGATGAGACGCGCACAATAGCTTTCGCCCACCGCAGAATAGTTGTGCTGGTTGATGAATGTATCTTCTGGTATCTCTAAACCTATCGCATAAAGTCTAGAAGGAAGCATGAGAATCCGCGACGCCATAGTTCTACATATCAAGAGTTGCAGAAAGGCTTACCGCAGGAGTTTATGTAATATCTCAACGTGATTGAATGTTATGAAGGCTTCTATCTCTGGCAAAAGAGGACGCAGGACTTCTGGATGCTGCTTTCGCGTAATGTCGTGGTTGACTAAGCAGATCGTCAACATACAGATAGCAACGAAGCGCGATCAACACACTATTGTAATGCTCTAGTTGGTCGCGAACGCCGGCATCGATGGTCTAGGCGATAAATGGTCAGGTCACACATACCGCTCACGCAGAGAGAAGAGAGGACCCAAAAACCCCGCGCTTTGAAACCTTGAAACGAGCCTCCTTCTACTATCTTCGCGGCGTACTCTCGCTTCTCCTCCTCCGAAAAATGGGTGAAAGGAAGATCGGCGATGTCGAATATACGTTCATTCTATCCAATAGCCCATTATCGTTGTATCATCTGAGCCAAGACGAAACAAACAGGAACATACCTGAGCTTGTGTATAACCATGATTGATGACATAGAAGAACCCATGTGTAGACAAGGCCCCTCGTAGTTGAACGGCTAGCTCAGCGCGACCTTCTGCAGTCTCTGCCTTGGCAAGATCAATGATTGCGAGGTCAGCATACTCCACTGTAGCACACGGTGAGTGAATATTATTGCAGTTACACTATGAGATGTACGAGAGAGTACTGACAAGCTTCTTGTGTCGGTGCAACAGGAGGGCGATGTGGAACTGGGGGAATAACTGTGCCTGGCATCTTCTACTAGGCCCTGTGAGGGCGGGAAAATTTGGCGGGTACGACGATGGAGCGGAAGACCCGCATGCGAGATATGGAAGGCATTTTATACCTTACTCCAGCAAAAACCCTTTCGACTTCGACTTCGGCATGCCAGGAACCGAACAGAAAGCCATGATGCCGAACAATAGAAGACGCTATGAGTCTGACTAGAATTCAAATTCACTCTCAAATGAGTACTCAGGGAAGCATGTCACCATCTCGAACGGAAAGCCACAATACCGAACTTGAAGACGCTGTGAGAATTAGACCAGACTCCAAGTTCACTCCAAAATGAAACTCGGGGAAGCATGTCAAGGAACGCGCCCGTGGGACCAGTATGAAATGCGAAGGATCATATCAGGAGAGTTGCGTCATACATAGTGAGCAGCTGACAGAATGGTGGAGATAGTCAAATTCGAACTAGTAGCGCCGCATGCCGCAGTAAAATCCTTGCTCGGAGGGTAGTGGATGGTGTAACGCACGTTCGGTTTCGTGATAGGATAGTCTATCTACATCAGGAACAACCCATCCGGTTGTAGCTACCTGCAAACCTTTGGAGCAGTGAGCACTGGCAGGAGCATGTCGTAACCAATGTGGACGTACGCACCAGATACATACTCACCCAAAGCCTCCGTATCGCACTGCCTGCATAATCCAACTTGTCGTAGCCAATGGAACTGGTCTCGCCTAACGCGAAACCTGTTGTCAATGAAGCCGACGTAGCATGCGATGCGGCGAAATGAGTATATTGAAATGACTTTGACGATCCTCATAATCAGCGCACGAAAATACTTAAATCTATGAATTTCTTCACATAGAACAATGTCGCCAGTTTGTATATCGTATCCGTTGTAAATCAGACATCTATGTGTGCGGTGCATTTTGGAACCAAATGGCATGTACGTACCAACTCCGTCAAACCAGTCATTCGAAGATGTTGATGTTTGAAAAGGCATCTTCGGTATCCAGAGGAGCGGAGTGACGGAGATTTAAACCGAAACGGCTGGGTACGAGCCTAAAATGCGACATCCCCTATCTAATGCCTCCCAGAAAGGAAAGCAGCCCTAGGATCCTGGTGCGGAGCACAGAATTTCGTACAAACAGATTCCACATCTTTCTGCACGTTGCTGCTGTAACGCGGTGCCTTCCGTAACTTGTTGAAGGTAGAGATTCATGACTTTATAATCTTTCGGGGAAGATAACAATCTCTGAATAGGCTGATCAGACAAAGTGCATCCTAAGACCTGCCCTCAGAAGTTCAAGTCAAAGTTGCGCCTGCTCACCGCGACTCCATGTTGAGACTGCCCTTTGCAGGGAGATTGTTCTTTCGTGTCTGCTGAGATGCTTTCTGCACGATGACACTATGATTTGCCCATCGTAGATACTAGCAGCGGCAAGGACGCCTGCACACCGCAGGGTTGGGACGGCGACGATGCAGACAACGCTGTTGTGGCAAACGGGAGCCGGCGCCGCGACATGATGCGATAGTGAAAGTTTCCTCTGGGTGCTCTCTCATTTACATCTGCCTATTCTCGTGATGGTCCAGTCTGGTGTCGCAATGGGGTATGGGTCGAGGCGATAGGGACTGAAGCTCGCCGAGGGAATTGGATGGGCCTTTTCGAACCAATTTTCACCGACACGACGATGTCGAATCACAAGTTCATACGTATCAAGGACAAGGGAAATTTGCGAGCCTTGTGGCGGACTTTCTTCCGATCTACTACCAGCCACCGAAACCCATGCTACAACGCTTCCACAAAGCCATCGCGGATGCAGCGGCGATTCGATACATAGTGGATCTGCCAATACGTGATCTGTGCTCTGGGAGACGCCGTTGACCGCAGATGGGCATCGCCCAGTGGCCGAGATGGAGTCAGGTAGACCGTCCTCTTCAATGTACGAGGACGTGCATCGCACGTATGTATTGTCATTCAGCTTACAACAACCAGCATCTGCATCCTTGTATACCACTCCAACCGTCGCCTACGGCTCCTCCGCGAGGTCGACGTTGTCCGCGAGACGCACGACGCGCTCCTCGGGCGAGCCCACCTGGTGGTCGTACGCCCAGCGCAGGACGCGCGGAAAGTCGCGGCACACATGGCGCGTGCTGAAGTCCGGGTACTGCGTGCTGTATCCCGCGACCCAGTCGTACGTGATCAGGCCGGTGTCGGCGTGGCACATCAGCGTCTGGCGCAGCATCTCGATGCAGTGGTCTGCGCGCGCGCGGGGTCAGCGAGTACAAACGGCTCGGGGGCGGGGGGCGGGCGACGCACCGGCATGTGCCCGGATGGTGTCTGCGCGCGCGTCGAACAACGGGTCACGCCCGTCATAGTACTCGCGGTAAGTGTACTTGCGCAGCGCGTTCTGTGCGCGAGGGACATCAGCGGGGAGACGAGCCGGACAGGGAAGCACGCACGAGGCAGTGGAGCTGGTGAGTGAACTCGAGCGAGCCCATGTAGCCGCCGCCGTCGTCGTCCCGGAAGCGCACGAG